GTGGACAGGGTGTGTTTGGGGGCGGTGGTGGGCGTAGCACCCAAATGAGGGGCGGCGGGGCCCTCCGGCGTGCGAGCCGCGGCTGGCGCCTCGGCCTGACAAAGGTGCTCTGGCCGCAGCAGGCACATGCTGGCTTCTTCCTTGTTGCAGCAAACCAGAGCGCCAGGCCTGACACGGCACGCCACGCGCCACAACTCGACACTTATGCGACCCTCCAGCTACCTATTCGACACGCATACAAGCCAACACGTACACATGAAAACACACACAGATACACACACATACACACACATACACACACGCACATACACACAAATGTGGCATGCACCAATTCCACCCAGCACCTGCAGCTCCTGTGGCTCCATGTGCAGCCACTGCTCAGGCCGCTCGTCCGCGGCCGCGTAGGTTATGAGGTCCAGCGCAGTCAGCCGCGTCTGGCGACGCGACGACACAAACACCAGCACGGGCTTCAGGGGGGAGTGCACCTGGGGCCACGAGGGGCGTTGTGTGGGAGCCAGGGGTTGGGACATGTCAGGGGTGCATGGAAGGGGGGATCAGGGGAGGGAGATTTGTGCGAGGGCGGCGAGGCAGGGGATAGTGTGCGGTTTCGTCGGCTGCGGCGGCCAGTGTGAGAGAAGGGGATGGGTCATGTTTGCAGTAGGGGCAGCAAAGTTTCATCATGATGCATCTGGGGGGTGTTCTCGCCTGTATGGCGGCGTAGGACGGCTTGTTCATGGCGGCCATGCGGGGGCAGTAGAACTTCCCGGGGTAGCCCTGAGTGGGTTTGGGGGGGGGGGTTGCGTTAGGGGGAAGCATGTGAGTGGTTTTGAGGGGCGGCAGCATGTGGGTGTTTCAAGGACGCGGTTGAGGGGTAGGTTGGGGCAGGGGTGCCTGAGGAGGGGTGGGTGGTGACGTCACCACAGGCATCCAGGCACGCCAGGGTCACCTGGGGCGGCGGGCTCGGGGCATGAGGGCCCGAGGCCGCCTCGATGGTGCCTTGAGGCAGTGTCATATGCGACAATGATGTCATCCATCGCCCCCTCTGACATACAAACACACGCGCACACACACACACACACACACACACACACACACACACACACACACACACACACACAAACACACACACACACACACAC